TGTGCCGGGGCTTCCTCCGGGAGCTCAGGAAGCTGCAAGGTATCCAACTCTGGCGTCTCCGCAGCGCTGAGATGCTTTGCCCACTCGTTTGTTCGATAAGACAGGGCAACCCGTGAAAGCGCCGGTGGCAGGTTGCCCCTAGAGAGACTCGCAGGAATGGAATCAACCGAGGCGACAGATTGTGATGCTTTGCTGGACTTGGTTTCGTCCCCCCTCGCGGAAGCCTCTTCGTCTGGACCTGGGGCGCTTGCTTCAATGTTCTCTGCGCTCAGCTCCATGCTGTTCCCACGTTTGGTGGGAACAGGGCTGTTGGGGGCAACATTAGGGGATGCAGATCTGCTCAAGTCTGACGCAACCTTGGAAGGTATCTGTACTCCCACCGATGCACCGTCAACGTCTGCAGGCTTATGGAAAGGGTGCTCTAACGGCCATTGCTTGTCCGATTTCATCGACATTTCTGCCTGTTTCAGGTTTTGTTTGTTGAAGGCAGCCGGTTCTGTTTCTACATGAGTATCGCGAGGCTGTTCTTTATCTTGGATTGATCCAGAATCATAGTTAGAGCTCGTGTCGTCCATGTTCGCAGCGAGTGAATCATCGTCTCTTGTATTTCGAGTCGAACACACCAAGTCTTCACGACTTTCGCTCATGGCGTCAATTCTGCCCCTCATAGTACGCCCCGACCGCTGAGACATGCTCCTGAAGATATTAATGGAGCTGTTTGATAGCCGTCTTGATAGGCTCTCCATGTTATTACCTCGACCCTGAGATTTTGCGACATCTTCTTCTGTCGCCTCATCAGCAAATGTCGCAACAGAGGACCGCTCCTCATCGGCCCGGGCCTCGGGAATTTTGAATGGCAGTGGAATAACCACCGGCAACGGAGTGATGGGTGGGGAGTTTTGTGTTGGGATCGGATTCGGCGTGTCTTTCTTGTGAAGGCGCCCTTCTTTCTCTTGGTTGAGGGAGTCGGCAACTGTATGGTCGTCTGGTGTAGGATCTTGTGCAACCATAACAGTGACTCTCCCATCACTCTCAGCTCGGGAGATGACCATCTCAGCGGCACTCACTTTTGACACCAGTCGCGGAGAAGTTATTGGTCCGTCAGACGGGGTCTCGGTCTCGGTCCCGGTTGCTGACTGGGGTTGTACGGTGACAATCGCCAGGCCACCATTGCTTTCCCGCATGCGTTTCTCGTTGTCCATGTCACCGACTCCAGAATCTGCCGACCCCCCGAGGGGACTTGCCGAGCCATCTCCATCTCCATACATACGCTCCCACTCGCGGCGCGCTTGACCTGTTCTCTCTTCCACTTGGCGGCCAACATTCTCTTCCTCGATGCGAAGGTTTCGCTCGCCTTCGGCGAGCTCAGCGTTGCGCTTGTCGCGATGCTCCTTGATGATGTGCCAAAGCTTAAGCTGGGAAACGATGCCAGCGAGAAATATGAGAATATTCACGGCAAGCTCAACCCGGATGCCGCGGGTTAATGGGTATGTAGAAGCACCCAGCGGGAAAAGGTGGTCGTTGAGGGCCCATAGAAATGCCCAGAACTCGCGGAGACCAGCTCGACTGAAACAGTCAATGCCAAGAACAGCAGCCGTTGCGCCTGAGAAGGAAGTGCATGCGATGATGCTGTACGCTCGTGTCCAGCGGGTGAAGTATAAGCCAAAGGCCCCGAGAGTAAACGCCGCGATAAGCACCACCTTTCCGCCGACAGTGGGTACGAGCCCTCCAGGTTGCAAGGTCAGCAACCACATACTCAGACAGAACCCGCCCAGGAGACAGCCGAGGCATTCCGTAATCTCCTTAAACACAATTGCCAGGCCACCTAATATCATACCGGTGCATACAACGGCCACCACGTATGCGCCCTGGATGGCGGGGCTAACCGGCGGGGTCATGACATAGAGAATGAGAACTGTCGTTCCCAAGCTCGCCAGGAAGGCCGTTGAAAAGAAGGTATGTAGCCATTTTGTCTTGATCCCTACCAGGGCATATACGACACCTGTGGTAAGGAGGATGACCCCTGCAACCACCCATCCAGGTGTAATCTGCGGTTCAAGAGGAAGTTGGTCGGGGGGCAGAGTAGCTGTACAATATTATCAGTTTGTGTATCCCATATATTTGACTCTCCTTCGGCTACATACCATTGAATAAAGTGTAATTCAAAGAAGTACTGGCAGTCGGATCCATGGAAGCGCCGGATACAGTCTGTGTGGTTGGTAAAGGGCGCGTCAAGGTGGTGGAAGAGTCCGACTGACTTGTCGATGGCGATGGTGATGGTGATGGCGACAAAGTCGTGGTCTCCTGGACATTGCTTGTCGCTGTCTGGCTGGTCCTGGAGAGACTTATTTCTTCTCTTCTCACTTGACCCCATGACCCGGCGGCAGCAACCCGGAAGAAGATGAATAGGCAGAGCAGCGCCCTTATGAGAGAGTGCTCAAAGAGCCTCATGCTCGCGACAAGTTTGATAAAGAGTTGGTGAGTGGGCGACAGTTGTTTGATTGTTTGATGAGAGCCCAAGCTTGGGATATCAATTCTTGACCGGCAGGTCGGAAGCGCAGAGGCGAAGTAGTTCTTATGTCAACACACCAGGAGCACCATCATCGACGATCAAGCTTGTCAGACTGTTCCTTCTCATCGGACAGGCAGACAAGCCAAGACGTCGAGAGCTCGACCGGGAGTTTTCGAAGGCGGGAATGGCAGGTCGGATATCCCCGTCGTCGACACACAAGCAGAGGATGGTTGAAAGGGTATGTCCTAGAGCAGCAGAGCAGACCAGGGCAGAGCAAAAGAAGCAGCAGCAGCAACAATGAGAGAGCCGGGATCGGCCTAGACACTGGCCTGGTTGAGAAGGCGGGCTTGCGGCCGATCAAACCATAAGGCAAGAGGAATAACACATCACAACCGGGAACGGCAGGAGGTGGCGGGGGGGATATGAGAGATGTTAAGCCACTCAATGCGGGATCTTCCCGGAGAGATGAGCCGATGAGACCTGGTTTGGCGGTCGAAATCGAATCAAGGCAGGACGGCTTGTCCCGGGGGGGGGGGGGGGGGGGGGGAGGTGCCAGGACCAGGACATTGAGTTGAGCACGTCAAGTCCAGCCAAGGAACCAGACGACCAGAGAGAGGAAGAACATATGCAAGGCTCGGGGAGTCGCCATGGCTGGCGTGCCATCCCACCGGTCAAGACCAAGCTTGCTGTGCTGCATTGCATGCTTTGAATGGCCAGCTCTAAAGTGGGAGATGAGCACCACAGCTTGACTGGAGGTCGACGACTCGGCGACTTGACGTGGAGACACGGAGAGGCGTCGAGACTAGCGAACAGAGCTTCCCCCAGCTCCACAACTACCACAGGGCAGACAGGGGCCAGGAGTTAGCAAACTGCTGGAGGCGCTTTCATCCAAAATTGGCCATGACAAGCCGGGATGTCCCAGATAGGGATGGCAGGTTCCCTGTCAGCCTGTGATCGATTTGCTGAGGGATGAGGGGACGCATGGGGCCTAGGGCCACTGGGCGGTCCTTGTTGCCCTTGTAATTACATTAAAATCCTTGCGAGGACCAAAGTGGGAGCTGCTTGCGGTGAGTTTTTTTTAATCTTTTTTACGAGGCAGACGCGCTGAGATGTCGCAAAGTCGAAAACCGTCTTGGACTCCTCCAGATGGGGAGCTTGTGGGAGAGGAGGCTGGTAATGGCTTAAGAAAATGGAACTCCGGCTTCGATGTGAGTCAATTGCGTTTGTGATGTGGAGCATCACCTCAACTCCATGCAGAGGAGGTAGGTTCGCGTCTCGCTCCTGCCGTCGAGCTGTCAGGGTGTCAACTTGACGTAGGCTAAATCACCGCCTTTTCGCTTGCCGTCTGAGCATCCAAGACAATGGGACAAGATCGACCTGTCTAAACGGGCGTTGCTATCCGGACACTCAATTCGCCAGTCAGCGACCTGTCGGGCGGGCGACACGGTACTCTGAAAGGTCTCTGCGATGGGTATCCCGATATCTCGATATCGCCAACGTTGCCAGTCCTTTCTGCCCCTTCTCACATGTTGACGGAGCCGTGCTGGGCACCATGACGGCAATATCCTGCCGTCTTGTCAGGAGACTCGACGCCGTGCACGTCAGCGATTTCTTGACTGCCGAGTTGCTGGCAAAGTCTCCGTCGCGTCCTTCGCGTTTCTCGCGTACCTGATTGGATACCACGTTCGTCTGCCTGCCTGCCGAAGGTGCATGGTGGTCAAAAGTCGCCAAGCCGCGGGATGCTACACAGCATAAAACGTGTGACTCGGGAAGAAATTTCCGGTGGTCTCAAATTCATATAACCACAAGCCCGTACTCGTATGAATACCGTGCTCTTCAACTTTCAACCACCTCTTCATCTGCCATCTCATTTTCGTCCTCCCCAAAGTCTGACTAAAGAATTGAATTTCTGTGTGTTCGGGCTTCAGACGTCCGGGTAGCTGGCCCAAGGGAAGACCGCATTGAAAGCCACATCTTTGACCTGGACGATAACAATTGGCTACGACGCTGCCAGCACCACATCACCAAACGGGAAAAAAAATCAAGGAAGAATAAGTTAAATCTTGGATCCTACAGGAACATGATGCTGCGCTAGATGTCCATGCTACAGAATGTGGTATCGATAATCTCTACGCTATAAAGTCGTGATGTCACACTGCGTGACTGCCGTGCCTTCACTGAGCCTAGCGATGGGTTCCATTCTGCTAGTTTAGTGAACCCAAGATTACGGCTCCATGAACGTTGCTTTCCCCTTTCCCGGCTCCGAACATTTGGAAGACAAAAAGGGACAGGGGCCCCCACCATCTAACCCCCACAGCACAGAGGCTGAATGTCATTCATGATTTCTTCTTGCGTGCAAGCGTGCAGGCAGTAATTATATAGTAAATTCATGCGCGCACGAAACGTGAACAGGAAGATTTCTCAACCCCCCCCTTTTATTTGCCCGCAGGAGAGTTCTAATACAAAAAGGAGAATGGAGCAAAAATATCGACCAACCCAGGTCTCGAACCTGGAACCTCCTGATTGACCGAGCCACCGTAGGCAGACAGAATTGTCCGAGTACTTGTGGAATCGTAGTCAGACGCTCTACCATTGAGCCAGCCGGCCGTGGTTAGGATAAATCCTAGTTGATGAGAATTACTCGTGCCAGTTGACATTATGGAGTTATGGAGAAATGGCTCATGCCATTGGGTTTTGTGGGAGCGGAGCCATGCCGCGACCTTTTTTGGGGGGGTTTTTTTAACGAGAGACGACGCTAAGGGTTTGGAAGCTGAACAAATGCTCCGAGACTCGGATTGAATAACCTACGAAGGAAAAGGGGGTGGTTCTTTCTTATTTCCTTCGTTGCTTGTTTCTGCTCAGACTCTAGTTCTTCACCAAATTACTTAAGCAAGCCAAGTTGGTATTTTGAAATTCCCAATAACTAAACATGATACATCTTGCGCGTGAGTCCTTTCTCGCTCGGACCCTTTTTGAAGAATGAATTCGAAGTAGACCATGAATAGAGGATAAGTAGGTACGTTTAAATATGCGATACTCTTGCTGTGTGATTTAATATTCGCACTAGGTACCTCCCTGAATTAACCTATAGATGCAACGATCCAACTGTGACTCCCACTCGCTCTCTTTTCTCATAGTGATGCGGGTTTATTCGCTATGTGGCGAGGGTTAGCCAAGTTGATCACTAGCTTAGGAGTGGTAATTGCTTCCGTGCTTGCAACAGCCAGCGAGGTAGAGGCGGGCATCACAGTCGGGACAAAGGGCAAGGACGTGAACAGGGCCGGGGCGGGCGGGGCCCAGGGAAACGAGAATTATGGAAGAAAAACTAACATAAACCGCACCGAGATTTCGTTTAAGGAAACCGCCTGTTGTCCGTTCAAACCTAGACGATTTTTTAACTATCCAAATAGAACAAGTTAGGAATAATTCCAAGTTGACGATCTTAGATGAGATCATGCAGGTTTCTGACAGGCTCACATAGCCTTTATAATGCTTAACTACACTCCTCGACACCCCTTGCAAATTCACCATCACACCTCAAGCGAAAATCTAAGACGCATCAATCCCTTCATCAGTCTGCGTATTTTCTCGTCCTCTACGCCTCTTCGACTTCTCTCTTCCTTTTCTCAAACATGAGCCTCGTCTCAAAGCACAGAGCAGCCATGCCGTTATAAACTCACAAAGACCGTCGTTGGAAGGGAGATGATCATTCATTGGCAGTGTATATAAGTACCCAATCATCCCTTCCTTAAGTCTAAGACTGTGTATATATTTCCCACCCAAGCACCCTTCCTACCTTGGTCACCACTCCTCCTACCCTGGTCACCACTCCTTTGGCGAAACGTATCAAGCCTCCCACTAAAATAAAAGTTCAAGGTCCTTCACAAAAGCTCTGCCCAGACAAACCCCAACGGCAGCAGCGAGCAAAGATCCAGCAACAACAGCAACAACAGCAACAACAGCAACAACAGCAACAGCAGCAGCACATATCGGTTTCCACGCACCTAGGTATGGAACGAGATCAGCATTGACTAAAATTGAAAGAAGCACTACTACTACCACATTATTATAAGCCAACCTGGATTCACGCAGGAGGAGCCAACAAACCATGGTGATCATATTGACAAAGCTCCTTTGAGAATTTGTCCTACCTAATTAAAACCTCCAAAGACAAATAAGTACCTAGCATTAGTGGACCGTAGTAGAACTTGGCTTGGCTGACTTATAGACCTGACAGCCGTTTCGTGAAACCTAAAGACGTGTGTGATATCCAAAATCTAAAACTCCTATGCTCCGGATAAGACCCATACTGTAAAGTGGCAGATATCACATATCCATCCTGTCTTCCTTATCCAGAGCCCCCCCCCTTTTTATGTTGAAACCCTAGTAGAAATAATCCCTTTCCGCCCAGTCATAATAACGCTGGTTGCCCCTTTTTAAATCACTTCCTTTTCACAGTATAATTATATCATGACAAAGAGAGTTATTCTTAGTGAGTCGCTGTCCGGCTCTTCGTAAAAGATAAAGTCATAATCATCATCATCATCATCATCCCTTCATCCAAAATCGTTGGTTAACACGATCTGGTCCCAACGGGGAAGGCATCGCCGGCCTCATAGGCGACCCCTTTCCAGAATTGAAAGGTGATACGGACCCCTTCCTATCACAATAGCCATTGGCCGTCTTCTCCTGCACCGGCTTCCTTTTCCTGCCACCGCCCCTCAGTACGCCGGAAATCGTAGTGACCGGAAAGGTGACCAAGTTGAGGAAAATGCGGAGAGGAAACAATAGCCAAGCGACGAGGCGGTCGACCATGCGTCCGAAAAAGAGGCCCCAATGCGGCGAGCTTTTCGTGCTTGCCACTGCAGCGGCCAACCTAATCGCATCATCCACACGGGCATTGATGGCACCTATCTGGGACCGGGTCTGTGACGCCTGCACCACCGACTTCTTCTCATACCGCCGCATCGCCCGGCTCAACGTGTCCAGCTCCGGCTGGATCTCGTTGCGCACCTTTTGTGCCATGATCGCTTCCTGCTGCTGCCGCGCCTTCCGCTGCAAATCGGCTGACGGGCCGTTTTGTTGTTGCTGACGCTGTCGAGGTGTTGCGTCTTCCACTGATGCCCGGGCCGCCTCAAGCTCCTCGACACGCTGCAACAGTTCTAGAAACTGCGTTGGCGTCACGACCTCTGTGCGGTATGGGTTTGAGTGGACTACTCTCTGAAGATGTAACGTCCTGTGCATGATGAGAGCCACTGAATGCTTAATGGGCCTCATCAGGGCCGCTATCGTGAAGATCATAACGTTGGTCTGAGAGAGCCACACTTGTGATGACTCATTAGTGAGGGAGGACCGGAACCAGTGCAATAGCCACGCCACAACCATAGGTACCGCAAAGCACGAGGAGAGTGCGATCACCTCGTATACGTATAGCTCCCTCATGGCTTTGCGTACACTCTCCCGCTGCGCCTGAGCACACGCATTACCGTTGCCGCTTGGCCCTTGGGATGACGAGGATGCCGCCGCCTGTTCCTCGGGCATATCCTTTAGGATGGGTATCTTGGGTTTTGGCGACGAAGGCGAGACCAATGGCTCCGCCGCCTGGTGGATATGTGCATTACCATGCGTGACGTCCTCATCGAAACCTGCCATGATCTCCTCTTCGAGACGTACTTGTTGAGCAGACTGGTACCAGGACCTGTGAATGTGCGACGAGTAAGAAGAGGACACTTAACTTCAACAGGCCAACGGAAACCACACATTGAAAGACAACTTACCAGGGCAACGTGACAGAATAGAAGAGTATAACGCCGATGACGCCCAGCAGCATTATGTCAGTAGTGGTATTAGCCCCGTTCTTGAACATGATGCCAACGACAGCTGGTAGAACAATGACTATGACAGGGTAGGCCTGCCACAGCGATTTGTCGTTGCCCTCCAACATGGCGCCGCTGGGGTAGATGCTATCCTCCAGGTGGTTCATCGTCTCTGAGAAGCTGTAGTCGGAGAAGGTCGAACTCCGGCGGCGGAGGTCGTCCAGTGGCGAGTCTGTGACGCTGAACTGGCCAGATATCGGGCGACGCCGAGCAGCGAAGCTGGGGGCATCGTCGGCGTGAAAAGAACGGCGGAAGGCATGGTAACCGGGGGGTGCGGCTGACGACTCGGTGTCCACCGACGTCGAGTTCGCTGCACCGGGGCTCGAGGGCAGCTTTGCGGGTGGATTCGAAGAGAACTCTGTCATGGCAACCAAACGGTGATGCATGGGAGGTTGAATTTGGATCTGGGGCCAGAAGAATCCTCGAATGTCGATGGTAGGGAGTCGGCGCGAATGAAGATTGGCGGCGTGTGGTGCGGCGGGGGAGAGCCAATCGTGGGCACCGCAGGGATGCCCGAGGAGCTGGACCTGTAAGTGACGTAGTAGCCGCTGTCGACTGCAAACTTTAAGTTAAAGCACCGTTTCTGGTTCTTTGGGGAGAAGGTAGGTGTGTGTCGTTCTACTTTGTATTGCAGCATTCTTCCGGTATTCCGTAGAATAATTGCGCCTCAACTCCCTCGTAGTGGGGGGGCGTTGGGGCGGGCAGTGGAGTTGCTCGTGGCCATGATGTCTTTCGCCATCGGAGGACAATTCCAGTGATCGATCGAGCGGTAGACAACAGCAGCGGAGACTCCCCAGAAAGAAACGGGTCACTGGACCCATGCATATCAACAGGGGGTCGGGGCTGTGAAAGCCTAGCTGAAGACAGTTAGCGTAGGATGGAAAGCGACTGGGCCCCCCCCCCCCCCCATGCTTCCCCACGGTTGGAGTGCCGTTGCAGCCTGCCAAGGCTCTCTGAAAGGTCCCAGTCTTGCCTGTGTCGTCTGACGGATCTCAGCCAGAGCACTTTGGTACTGGAGTGTACATGTACAGCAGTGAGTGTCCCAAGGTATTTCGCATCCAGTTGTCATTTGGTCACAGTCTTGGGCTGTGCTTTCCACAGCAAGTGGACTTGTAACACATATACACTGATAAATGGGGGCGAGTGAGAACAATGGATAGGTTTATCATCCTCCTTGAAAAGATAAAGGGAAAATAAAGCAGGAGGCGGCCAACCAAATCCCAGTCCCAGCTACGCGGACGCAAGGAATAATGCAGCTGCCAGGGCAAACCACTCCCTGGGTCAGGCACAGATCCAGGGGGGTGGGAGTGTGGGCTTCGATCCACCTCACATCGGGCCGATGCTGTCATCGACGAACCACGAAAAGACATCAGCTACAGGAACCACCATCAACCAGGTCTCTGGTTTGAGTGTTATTCTTCCAGAAGCCGTCCCGCTCCCAGCCGTCGACCTGGACGGGCGGCCCAAGTCTCATACGGTCGTACAAATCGTACAGGGACTAGGTAACTGACTGGTATTCCCACTGCAAGGGGCCGACGTGCAAGGGCAACGTGAGATTAGATGGCAAAATACGTTCATGCTTTACAGGGCACAGACTCGGGCAGCACACAGCAAGCTGGCTTGCGGACGCCCAAGTCACCCACCTTTTCCTGCTGCCGAAACATGGAAAAGCGATGGCAAAACCAAAGCCGTCCCGTCATAGGGATGAACGTGCCTCACGGGCGCTGGTGA